TGTACCTCTTACCTTCCTATGTCTGGCAAACCAAAACAACTGACAAGCTCTAAACAAATGCATTTTGTTAGCTAGGCTAGTGGTGTGCATAGTAAGAAGCAATGCCTGACTGACACGTGCCCGGCAGACAAATTTCATCATCATTTGAATTGTCTCAAACTGTGCCTCTGTGTCAAGGCATCTCATGCTAACTGAGACCTGTTGAAGGAAGAGAATTAACTTATACAATGAATTCTTACTGAAATAAAGGTAATACCAAAGCTGATATTCAATATCTAATTAAATATTTTCCTAATACAGTATACCCATTTATAATATGTGAAGCCTGACTTTAGTCTCCTGGGAGCAGGCCAGTGAAGAATAGCATTACAAATATTTATTTACTTCTCTTGTCCCTTACTGGCTTTATTTTAATGGGTCTGCAAAACCGCATGAAAGCTACAGGGGAGAAAAAGCCCCCTGGGAAACCCTTTGTATCAGCATGAATTGGAAAAACAAACTCTAGGGTGCTCATTTGCCATGAATCACTTTTCACATCACGTGCGGAAAATGAATGAGGCGTCTGTGAATCTAATTCCCTTTGTCCCAGTTGTAAAGCAGATCAACACAACAGGAGAGGCACAAGGCCAGCAAAGCGAGAGGTGGAAAGCAGGCACCATTCAGTGAATTCATTTTCAGTCATTCCCGTGCCACTCGCTCCTTTTCTTCTCTGCAGATTTAAAGAACAAACAAACCCTGTGGTCCCTGGGAAATGCTTCTGTTAAGTGCTGCTGCCGAAGTCTCACTAAGCATGGTGGCAATGGCAGGGAACACAAATCCGTCCCACTGTCACACTGGGTCCCTCGTCAGTCCAAGTGAGAGGACAGAAACCACATCACCACAGCCTTGCAGCACGTTAGGAAAACAGCAGATCGGTGTATTGAAGAGTCTGTGTCATCCCAGAGGTAAAAAAGATAAAGATCTAGGGTCTTCCTCTTATTTTTTCATGTAACTTCAAAATAAAAATCCTAGTCATCTCTTTCATGCTGAACTGGATTTCTGAAAGCTGTGTATTATTCTGACTTAGGTTACATTATTTCCTCTTTATTAGCTTCTATGTAAATACAGTTAGATTTGTGTGTGTGTGTGTTTGCCAACCAACCATTTACGTTTGAAAAACTAAAAATATTCTACCTGCAAAATGCAGCGCTGGCTTGGTACTGTAACCTTTCCATTTATTGCCTGGGTTATAAGCCTCTCTCACTGCATAAGAACAACTGTTGCCCAGCTAAAAGGAAAATGGAAATTTAAAAAATCTCACCACAGCTTTTGTAATATATTTCCAAGTTGTCCTCTTTGCAGACTGTGTGCGTAGGCCATTCTGTGCTGGCATTGATGTACAGCAGGACTAAGATGAGAACATTTGTTGTCTTCATGGTGGTGGTGGTACTTTGCAGGGCTACTTCTGTCTGTCTCTCACTAACCCTCTGTGGAGGGAGGTGCCCCTTCCTCTCTCCAAGGAAGACAGGAGTTACTACATTCGCGCCAGCAGAAGGGCTAAGTGAGCTAACACAGCCTAGCTTGCCACAACGTGGTATAAACAAGAGGCTAATCAGAATTGGAGGGTGTTATTTCCGTGTACTTAGACTTCTGCTTTCTGCTTCATGTTAGTTTAAACTAATGGCAAATGAGCTAATCACACCTACTCGCTGCACGGCATAGCCTTGCCTCGGTGCCTGCTGGAACAGTGCTGCAAACTGTTTCGTTTTTCTGTCACTGCCAGGTTCTTCTCTTGAAGTCAAAGCATTTGGGTCAAGACTTCAGACAAGCTTATTTAGTCGTTCTGGCTACAAAACATTGCAATCCAAATCGCCCCATCTCAATCACGCAAAGTCAGACGAAATTTTGCATGATGGACAGTTTGGTTTCTATGTTCTTCTTAATTACAAATCTGTCTGCTAGAGGTGGGTTGCCTGAAGTTGACACCAAATAAGCAAGCCTTGAAACTTTTAGGGATTAATCCTTTCTGCTTCACTATGCTAAATACTGCATTTATGTTAGTTTTGTTCAGTAGTTCTTAGGAATGTACTATTTAACAGTATACAAAATCAAGTAAACCCAGGCTTATTTTATTTTTCTTCTGTCTTCCTGGTTATTTACCTGCTCAGTTGTGACACTGTGCACTCGTTATTCACACTAGTTTTTTTTTTAATCTGTGTTTTACGCAAAAATTAGTGGCTGTTGCAGGTGGCAGGAAATGATCTGTAAGGGAAGGACGGAAGGTTGCTGCATCTCCAGGAAACTTCTCCAGTTCAGTTTAAGATCTGGGATTGGAATAGAATTTCAAACTGCAGTTGCCAAAAAGATCTTTCCTGGACGGAGCACCAACTGGAAAAAAACTGCAAGCCAAATTCAACCATAAAGTAAATGTCTGCAGTAGTTTTCTCTGAGCTGGAGACAATGAGAAATTGGCTCTGTAGCATGACAGAGTTGGATAAAAGAACACTTTGGCCATGTCGGTCTTTCTTGCTCTGAAGGCCGTGAGTATTATTTGCTCTACCACTGAGTAAAGTTGAAGAGGGGAAAGCCTACATACTTTAGCAAACAGGAGAGCGCCTAACAAAATAATTACGAAATAATGTTAAATGGTACAGCTGTTCCTCAGGCAAAATCCTGGCTTGGATGAAGGTAATAAAATTAATCCCACAGATTAAAGAGAGGGCTGAGTTTTCAACCATGATGTATTAAATTTAAAAGCCAATTCGATGCAGTCCAAGAGACCTTGCTTTGAATAATGAGGCTCAGGCCTGCTTCGTGTTTTTGGATACTATCATAATGGCAAATTACACGTCCAGGGCCAGGATGAGAATCCAGGCAACTGTCCTTAGGCATGGAACATGTGTGAGTCATGCAAGAGATCTGGGTTACAGATCTGTCTGGTTTGACTGGACCTTGACTGTAGTTGATAGCTGACGCAGTTGCAAAAGGAATGGTAAGGAGAGATAATGTAAAGGATTACTGTAATACACTTAAAGTAGAATAATATAAAGTAAAAGGCCCTTCCCACTAAGGTCTACAAAGACAGTGAAAATTGGATATAGCAGTTTATTACAAAATGCAAAGTACTTCAGATCAGGACTGTGAGAACACAACCTCCAGGTATTTTTTTTTTTTTAGAAATTATATCATTATGGTCCTTCATTTAAAATGTCAGCATAATGCTCAATAACAATGAACAAAGCAAATCAAATGATAGGGCAAATGCTTCAAAGAGAGACCTGCTGGGGATCACTAAATAAACAAACCAAATCAGGCTCAGGACCTCTCCTGAGATGAAAATCATTGGAAGCCGGGAAAATATGTGGGAGAAATACCATACATGCTTGCCCTGCTCTGCATGCCTCCCTGTCCACACTGCTGAGAACAGATTACTGGGTTAAATGAAGCCTTGGTCTGGACTGGAACTGTTTACCTGGACACTGGACTTGTGTTTCACTTCTCCTTTCCTTGGTGCACCCCATCCATTGTGGTGCTTGTGACTTTTGAAATTCTGATTCAAAGCAGTCTTTCATCTTTGCAGAAGCCCTGTGGTAGCTGCTCTGCAGATATCCAGGAGTCTGGGCCTCACCTTGCAGAGATTTTAGTCTAAGCACAAGCAGACAACCTGGGAAAGTGGGGCAACACTGGACTTCTGGGATACAAGTCTTCCTGCATCACTGAAAGCAGGATGGCTGGGGTAGATCTGGTGGAAACCAAATATGACTTTGTAGATGAGCTCAGGAGCTCTGCAAGTGCCTACACCATTTCCCTGTCTGGTGCATAGACTCTCTCCTGTTCTTTTCAGACAGCTACTTCATCCTGGTTTTTTGGCAGTGCTCCTGACACTGACTCAAAATGACAAGTCACAAGATTTATTTTTTTTTGTGAGTGCGAGGCTGGAACGTGTGTCTCAAGTAGTTTTTGGGTAGCCAATGTTCTGAAGGGAAACAGCCATGATAAGTAATGTTTTGAAAGGCTGTACTGTCACTTCCACTTTGCCCCACCATTTTGTTCTCAAAAAAAAAGGTTCAAGTTTACAACATGTACTCCTGACACTGTTTCGCCATTTCATTCCCTGTGTAATCCTTGTATCTCCTAGAAAGAGCTTTATTACCAACTCCATCTGTTCTGAGAACTGCTTTCCCTTCAAACAGCCGAAGCCTGTGGGATGAGAAACTACATCTAAACGAAGTGGTATCAGTGCTGGCAGTGGGAATTCTGTTTTGGCAGGTTGCTTAGCTGGCCAACAAGCATGTTTATCTGCCTGATTGAAAGCTTTGACCATGGAGATAAGCAGCTCAAAAATGCCTGTAAAGAAAGCTATTTACTTAAAGAGTGGCAGCGGCTTCTTATATCTAAAGCACTCTTCACCATGTTTGGATGCTTCTGCAGTATTGAAGAGTGGAAAAGCCTCTTGTTCCTTATCAAGAAGATTATTATATCAGTAGTATAAGTGGGAAGACTAAAAGATACAAAGATAGCAGACTAGTAAGCAGATAAATCTTACATTGATGTCTGTAACTTCTTGGGTTGGCTGATTCAAGATTTCTGATATAACTGTACCAACAAATCACCTCCCCATCCTCAAGTAGCTTCTATTGTTAGCCTCTCATACCTATAACCAACAGCCAGTATTGGCTTCTTAGAGAAAGTATAGCAAAAAAAGAGGGGGTTTTTTTGGTGGGGTTTTTTGTTTGTTTTGTTCCTTGTCGCTTCAGGGTCCAATTCTCCCCTTTAGATTGCAGTTAATATTGAGTCATAACTGATTTAATAGACAGCAACATCTATTCATTAAACAACTTACTAGTAAGTAGCCTAATCATAAATATGCTATTAATAGATGCACTGTTACCAGTAATTTACAGTTGTATCATTGTGCTCAGTTACAACCAAATATAAAAACCAAATCTCATTCTCAGATCGTATAACTCACACCTATTTTATTATAATTCTGCCACCCTTCCCACCCATGCTACTTGGTGCCAGAGTGCAAGCCTATCCCTCTTTGCTCGCCCCTACTGAGTCTTTCGAGCGTGGACCTGATGGAGAGTCGCGTGGCTTGCTCACAGGGATTCCCTTCTGTATCCTCGCGGGCTTGGGTGCACAGGTAGCTTCAGTGCTGTTTTTAGGGACCTGCACTCCCACTGTCAGAAGATCCCATCCTTTTTTGTTCTTTACCTGATTTTCTCTTATTCCCTCTTCTTTCTGTTGCAGGACCCATCCTTTTTATCCTATCTTTACCACTTCCCTTTCCTTAGCCTAACACTTTGCAAACAAGCAAATCACCATTTAACTTTTTTTTAAATTGATCTCAATTCTGCTATGTGTGTTCTCAGATTTGATGTTTACAACACCTTTACTCAGGCAATGTTGGCCTTATGGGGTACTACTGATACAGTTGCTGAGGCACAGGTGGCTTCCTAAGACTACATCCCAGAACTACTTTACAATTATCTGGTTCATACTGGCAATGCTTTTTTAAATTTAATTTTATATGCTAGGGCAAATTATTCTACTTTAGCCTTGATTCCTCTACTTATCTCCAATTAATGCAAGCAGTTTCATAACTGAGGCCCAGCCTGCATACCAGAGCAACAAAGCGACATGTTTTTCATGCTCTCTTTTGTGCTCACACAGCATCCTTGCCCTTGAGTTGTTTTAATTGCTCTCTGGGTTCCCTGCAGAGGTTTAGCTGGTCATGAGGCTCAGTGTTCCAGCAGGGCCCCTTGCTTGTGTTCATACAACCACACATACACTATGACTTCTGCCAAAATAATTATGGGTATGTTGTTTTTCCTATGCTCCTGGCCAAGTTGTTGCATTTGCAGAACTTTTTCAAACATAGACCTAGATAGTGCTTCACCTAATCTGAGCAATAGGTTTTTCTCTTAAGAGTTCCTTTTATTTAAAGAGGTTTGTTTTTTTTTTCTCTCTGTTGTACAAGTCCAGTATAAGGTGAGTCCTAACCAACATCTAAGTTCTTTCTTTCAAACCAAAATCTTTTTTTCTTGCTTTGGCGTCTTTGTGTACTCCTGCATCATACAATGTAACATTTTTCACTGGGAAAGCTTTGCTGATTTCTCTTCCTTTTTCTTGCAGTACTTTCTGAGCAAAAGCTTTCTGCTTCATGGGTCTCCCACTAGTGGAAGACAGTGAGTGAAAATTTCTCAGCAAATAGATGAGGCTTCTCAGAAGAGATATCTTTACTCTATGTAGAAGTCAACTTTTCCTCCTGTGCTTGTAACAGAGAGTTTAATATTTTGGTTAAAAACCAACAAGGCCTAGAAATGCAATGCAAGCTAATGTGCCGCCACCCCCATTTCCAGCTGTACATGGGAGAAGGTGAATTTTGTTTTCTGAGATTTCTGCAGCGCTGGGGGTGTTTGAAGCGCTGCTC